AAAATGGATGTTGTCTTAACATGGTTAAGACCAAGCGTAGTTGGTAGGGGTGGGGGGGGGTGCCTACTACTAGTAGCAGTAGCGGCAGTGGCAGTGATAATGGCAGAGGGAAGCGGCAAGCGAGGAAGCGGCTAGAGGTAAGGGGTAAGTGGTCAGCGGTACTGTCAAACGCGGAAGTCATGCGGGGAATGGCGAAGCCCCTTCACAGAAGCAGCGCTTCCCCATCTAGACGCACCACCGAAAATACGCTCAAACCAAGCGAAAAACAGTAGCCGCATCCCACGTTGTGGATATGCTTGGGGTATGGGACGATACCTGTCTCTCTCTGCTCTTTGTATTAAGACATTACCTCCTAGCTCGATTTGGAGGCCCAGGACCACGTGGCATGATTTTGCATGGTGTCTTTTTTTTATATGGGAGCCTCCAAATAGGATTTTGTGATTCTGTGTTCGGGCCATTTTCCGCTCCTGCATGTTTATGATTAGGCTTCTCCTGTGAACCGCCATGGAGCTAGCGCACATGAAACAGTCCCTCCCCAAAAAAAGTGCTTCCTCCAAGTACTGCCGCCTGCAGATTACGCACAACGACTTTGTTAGCTGGGAGAACTGTTCAAGCGCAACCCGCGCAGACAGGTGTGGATGAAATGGCTCGTAAAACCCGTGTAGGGTAGATGGCCGATCGCGATGCTAGCAAACTCCAACTACACGCAATTCGACAACGACTTCATGGTTTGGGCTCCCCCAGGTGCTGCTGCATTTCAACACCTTCATGAAACCCGAAACTAAAACAAATCTTAACGACCTCCAGCCTTGGACCCGCAAGCATCTGACCAAAGCTTGAACCCGTGCCTGCTTCATCATCACTGCATCCTGTATATGGGTTCTGGAAGCACTCCAAGTGCGATGTGCGTGGATACCAGGTCCAAGAGGCTTCGGATGTGGAAACCACCACAAATCTGTACGGAAACCCTCGCCGGTGCAAGAACGACAAGATTACCATAGTGCTATGGAGTAAGTAAGTATCGGTTACTGTCCGAGAGGTTTGCAAAATAGAGGATGGAGTAGTGAGACACGACGGACATGTACGGGGTAGTGTTGGCAAATATTACAAACGGGATGGCTGGTGCATTCCCGACAAGTGGACTTTCGAATCTCTTTGTGCCAAGCAGCGGTCCGATAGCCGCACGGCAGCCTCAACAGCCACACGCTGAAAGTCTTGAAATATGCGTGTAGGTTCCCGAAGTCTGCGCTCACTTGCAAGGCTTGGGAATGAGGAGGAAGCGGAGACTTAGGACAAGTCAAACGGAAGACCCCGGCCTGAAGAGCTTCTGGTGTCAGGAGAACTCCATGATGAGCCTGCGCTGTTAGTTTTGCGATAATTGATGCATGGCGTGAAGTTATGTTGAGCCCATGCAATTCACCTTCCTGGAATTTCCTGGAGACCGGCCTCGTACGCAGGGCGGAGTCCCTCCAAGACCTCGATGCTCTCGGCCACCTTGGGCTCCTCCAGCACTGAGCAAAAAGCATTCCCAATGCAACACCAACACGTGGTAGACGAAACTGCGAGCTGGACAGCCGTTGAGCTTCTTCTTACAAGCCCACCTCGCAGTTCACGCGCTGGAATCGGCGTTCGAGTGCTGCATCTTTCTCGATATGTTTCGTGTACCTGCTCACGCACTGAGCATGTGCTGCCGGAACCAGCCAGGCATGGGTGCACAACTGCGCCCTGTCGTGTCCCAGCGCACTCATCTGCTGTGGTTGCCCCAATCACCTGATGTCTCACTGTGAGACTCGCGGTATCGAAAAACCTCAACCGCCAAGAGACCCTGGATCCCAATACAGCAGTTACTGAGTTACTGATGATAAGAGTCCTAGTAAGAGAATCAGTGAACAGAAAAATTATGGAAGAAGTAGTGTAAAGTCTCTTGACAAGAGAGCAGAGGCAACGGCTTGCAGCTCACCACGTGCAAGTGAGGGTTTGAGAAGGTTGGCCGCGTCCATGGAGGAGTCTGCACCTGTCTTCAGGCTTCAAAGACCTACTGGCAGAGCAGAGAGGTTGCAGTTCTCCTTACTTCCGGTATTGTGCTTCTTCATTCTTCTTAGCATTATTGCTCGTTCATGTAATGGTAAAGAACAGCTACCATGGCCACTAGAGATATTCCTGAGCATTGCTTCTTCTCTCATGGCTTTACGAGATTTTGCAGCTATTGACAGCCACCCATGCAGCGCACTTGACTTTTTTGGTGCAAGTGCCTACATTTCTCCAATGCACCAGGGTCGACCCATAGCCTGCTTTCGAACCCTCGCTGACCGAGAACTCGAAGCAACGGTAGTCCTTCACCATAAAGACTCATTACACCTACGACTCCGTGCAGTTGTGTACAAGCACTCGGTATGTGTAGTGGCACACAGCAGTCTTGCAAAGGTGCAAGCACTCGTCTATATATATATATACATATATATATACATATATAGGTGTATGTATATATATATATAGAGATATATATATAGATGTAGAAGTACAAGTATATGTATGCGCATGTAAGCATGTATATAGGTAGGTAGGTAGGTAGGTAGGTAGGTAGGTAGGTAGGTCGGTCGGTGGGTGGGTGGGTAGGTAGGTAGGTAGGTAGGTACGTAGGTACGTAGGTANNGCATGTAAGCATGTATATAGGTAGGTAGGTAGGTAGGTAGGTAGGTAGGTAGGTAGGTCGGTCGGTGGGTGGGTGGGTAGGTAGGTAGGTAGGTAGGTACGTAGGTACGTAGGTACGTAGGTACGTAGGTAGGCAGCTAGTTAGGTATGTTTATATACATGTACATATGCATATATACATACATATCTATTATGTATGTACGTATGTGTGAATGCATCATATGAAAAAATGTAAATGCATCCACATGTATGCATATGTATGCAGAAGGAAACAAGTATATAGTAAAATATATGTGTGTATATACATATATACAAAACACACCCACGCACAAAAAAAAAATCGGCCTGCAGCACCAGCTCCCACGATCTGATGGATCCTGCTAGGCGGCAGATGGCTTCTTCTAAATTGTTGCTGTCTGGGACTATCTCGCAGAGGCATGGCATGTTGACTGCGCCAGTTTGAGAATCGTGCTCGTCGATGAAGAGGCAGACGTCCCGCTCGTCACTGGTCACCTCGTTGATGACCTTTTTCAAACCTTCAGAGGGACATGCCCAGGCAGGAAGACTTCACCGGCTCGTCCTGATGCTTGGCTCCAGGCGGTCTTCAAACTCCCCACGGTACTTCGTGCCAGCCTGAGATACTACCGCACTGAAAGCCGCGGAAAGTTAGCAAGCACACACAATAGCAGAATTGCCAGCTGAGCTGAGTTCGACAAGCTGGCCCAAGTCGAGAGAGTAAACCTGCTTCCCCTTCAGGCGATTTGGCACCTTGTCGGGTCCAGTTCCTCTTTTCACCTAAGCAGATCACCCCAGTCAAAAGTCTGTCAAACGACATGCCTTGCCCTCGGCAATGCGAATGGCCAGGCCTGCCACGACTTGACGAACTGAAAGGCTGGGATGTCCCACGAGAGAGGATGTGAAGCAGACTTGCTCATGAGTAGGACTGCTCGCTTCGGCAAAAGCCGATTGAACAAGGCACCAACAGGAAACAAGAACGAAATTCTTCGGCCTTCGACCACTGCGGTCTTCCCGACGCCAGGAGGACCCACAAGGCAAGCGTTGTTCCTCGGCATTGATACTGCAAGTCTCGTCTGCTCCACAGGTGACTGAATTGCATACCATGTGAACGACTGTCACAGATTGCAACTGAGCATGGTCCAAGACAAATGCCCTTACAAAGACCCACGCTTACGCTTGCGCAGCAGGATTTGGATGATCCGATCCGTCTCCTCCTGCCGACCTGTCAGGAGCTCTGAGCGTCTCAGGTCAGACTCGCTGCTGTCGGCACGCTTCCACACTGTCAGAGAGAAGGCACAAGTGCACCCCCTCCCGCGAGTGACCGCGCCCTGGTCTCCAAGGTCGGCACGCTCCCTTTGCTTTGCTTTGCTTTGCTGGGGGTGTGAGGAGGTGGAAGTCCCACCCCTCTTTCCGCAACAAGAGACTAAGGTTGTGCTGCTGGCTTCAAGTTGTGAGCCCCTCTCTCTCTCTCTCTCTCTCTCTCTCTGTCATGGAACGAGCTGGACCTTTACACCAACGCTAGATGCTACATGCTACTACTAGCATTGGCATGATTTCTCTTGGTCTTCCAAGCTCAGAAATATGCGTTATTGAGAACTGTCGTGACAGATGCCGCCGACTCACAGTGCCTCACAGGAAATCAATTTACCCCATGCGCTTTAGGGTTCTGTGGAGGGCAGACGCTTGCGCACAGTTGTTTCTTCAAATCAAGGCATGCGCTCCGCCTTGTCGCTTGATGCTTCTGCTGTGCAGCGGTGCTGAGGAAGCTTCCGTTCATAAATCATGATTCTGGCGGTAGAGACCTTCAGATCTGTTCGGGTGATCGTTCCTTCTCACTTGGGCTCTCAAGCTTGGGAGGTATCAACCCTCAGACAATTAAGGTTCCTTGACGTCCTGTGATTCATTCTCTGTTCAATCCAGGTTAAATTCGTGCTCTCGTCGCGTCATGCGCTGCCATGTCGTACATAACTCATGACCTCCTGGGTCATTTTGCCATGATCCATGCCCTTCCTCTCTGACAGCACTCTTTCTGTGCTCGACAGAGCGAGCCAAGCGGTCATTTCGGTAGGCACCCAGCCAACCACTGGATCCAGCAAACCATCCAACGCCATTTGCCTTGACATGTGCGTGCCCATGTATTTCAGCAATAGCTGATGCATCTACTCAGCCGAGGCACGTCAGATCTGTAGCAACTTCATCCAGCGTCATGTCGGACTCGCTCGACTCATCCGCCTAGGCCGTGACAGCATTTCGCTCATCCAAATTCGGCGCCTCATCATCCGATGCTTGGCGGCTCCCCTTCCCCTTCAGTCCCCTGCCCCGACGGCGGCGAGCTGTCGCTCTGGTGCCCCAGGTGCTGACCTGAGAGCGCTCTCCACATAACATTACTCCTGAACTTGGATATCGAAAGCTTCAAAATTCAGAGGAACCTTCTCCGCTGTTGTCGAGGGACATCGGCCGGCTGCATGACTGCTGCCACAGATCTACTGCGCCCCATCTCTTCATGCCGTCCCTCCGCAGCTCAGCTCCCGGCGCCGCTTCTGAGACGGCTTCTTGTAGGGCACTTCCCGAAAGCCCAAGGCCTGAGAGCTGAGCGGTGGGCCACGGCAAAGCGGCAAATCGAAACGGCAGCGGCCTGCAAGCATCTTGGCCCCACCGCTTTCGGCCAGCCTGTCATCGCCTGGGGGGGAACCAACAACCGAATTGGCTGCAAGATCCTGATCCTTTCGTGGACTCCGCCTCTACTCTGGGACGCCAACCGAGGGCCAGAAGCAGCTGCTCGCAGCCGACTTCTGTGTTGCCAACCGAGCCTTCCTCATAGTGCGCTTGTTTTCACAATCTCTCAAGTGCTAGAAGCAAGCTCAAGCCGTGTGAATGGAACATTTAAAAGCTCGTTGAAAGGGTACGTTTCAATACCTGATCCTTCGTTGAGCCATCAGTGTTTCAGGTGTCTCAGGGACAGGGTCAACAGATGGACGAGTGCTCAGCAACGGACATTCGCTGTGTCGAAAAGCAGCCTGGCATTCTCGCTGAATGGCAGGGAACCAGATCCTGCGGACATCGAAACATCTGCCAACAGACGGCAGAGTCACAAAACTCACGCATCCATGCACTTCAATGTTATCGATCGGCCGTCTTCACAACTCCCTGGCTTCGAGCTGACAGAGAGAGGCTCGAATTTTCTTGTCACCTGATCGGATCCCGCCACCCACCACAGTTTCTAGAGTAGACAGCAGCATATCAGACATATCTCCGCTTGCTTTCACCCCCGCGCATGCGCGATGCACAGACAGGCAGCTGGTCACTGTGTTGCACTTTTTCCAAAGGACATAATTGAGTTGTGGACCTGGCAAAGCTGGCGCCTGTGCCGTTGCAAGTCTGTTGGCTATGCCAGCTCTATCGCAGTCGAGCAATAAGACCGCCAAGAACTTTCAAGGCAGCTCCAGCGTTCCGACTACAGCAAAGGCTCCACAAGAAGAGCAGCAGTCTTCGGTATTTGTCACCCAGCAAGTTGCAACCGTCAAGATGCGTCCTGGTGTGTCTGACACGGGTTTTGGGCTGGTGGCGATGAAGCGCTTCAAGGCCTCGATTCAAGCTTCACCGCCCTCTCATTGCTGCTGTATCAACGCTGAAACCCTGGCCTCGCGAGTAATGCCTTTCCGAACCTCGGTCTCAGAATTCGAACTACTGTGTTCCGAAAGACAGTCCATTGGATCTGGGATGTGGGCCAAAGCAGTCTTGGCTATAAGGTTGGCACCCTTCTGCTCCTCACAAAACTACTTGTTCTTTCTGTGTTCCCTACCTGAGGCACCTGGACGGCTTGAACTGCCCTAACTGCCTCTAGGAAATGCGAACCCGGCTGGCCACTCAGAGCCTCAGAGAAAATTCCGAAGATGATGAGTTCGGTGGAAACCACTCCGTGACCTTGGCCGAGGTGGGGCCAGGCTTGGTATCAAAATAACTGATTACATGTAAGCGAGGAATCACCACGACAAATCGACACAGCACGTGAAGTCGCCAGGAAAAACAGGAAAGCGGCTGCGTCTCAAGGCTTCCTCCTGCAAGGGCGTGGCCGCTTGTTTGGGGAGCATCTCTCAGGGCGATGAAGACCATCACCCATTGCGGAAGTATGGCCCACAGAAAAACCAAGCCTGGGCACTGTAGATCGCTGTGATGGCATCCTGCCGGAATCGATCGAAAACCTTGGACGATGCGTCAGCAGCCCTCACACCACGGGCAGATATCTTCGACTCGACACTCGACAAAGGTTCGCAGAAATGCAGCTCCGCGAACATGCAGCATCGAACGTCATGAAGTCTGCAAGGTGCCGAGCGTAAGACTGCAACGGCTGCCCTCTTGTATGCTACGGCATGCATTGGCTTCCCTTATGCAGGGCAAGACAGCTGTGATCCAAGGCTTCCCGGCATGCATGGCTTTGCCTATGACCTTCGCAGTCAAGCTGGACTCGGGGCATTAAACGATGCATCTCCTTGCTGCATGCTTCAGTCTTGCCGAGCCAGTACATGTTCATCGCGACCGTGTGCTCCCCGGTGTCACAGAACATCTATGGTTTGTTGTGCGTTGCGTCAGGCCTGTAGGCTTGGAGTCAGAGCAGAAGCCCCGACTTCCCCAAGATTTCACCGGACATCAACAGACATCAACAGCCCAACTTTGAGGCACCTCCAAACTTGTCAAGTGAGTATCTCCCGGCTGGGTCGAGGGCTCTCCGGCTCAGCCGCCGTAGTCGCTGCCTTCGCCGGCCCACCTCTACAGTCACAGGTCGGAGGAAAAGCCAAAGGATAGCATTGACTCGAATGCGTATGTGACCAAACCTGACTTGCATCTTTCCTGGGGGCATCGTGTATCCCTAAACCCCGAGCTTCTCGAGCTCGACCCTCCGGAACAACCTAGGATCTAAATCTAGTCCGTCACAGTCAATGGCGACTCGCCCATCATGAACTTTCAAACCTAGAGGACCTAGAGCCTGCAAGAAACGTAAGCCATGCCTGTAGCTGACGGTTGTAGTTGCACTGCAACTGCAGCTTCGTCCGGAATTTGCCGCCATTGAGGTGCCATTTTTGTGTCACCAGTATAACTGTCGTCGACAGTGTCATAAAAAGCCATGTTGGCCTAGTCACAGCAACACCCAGCTGCTCAAAAATGCAGGTAACTCTCACCTAGTTAGACTTCCTGCAAACCCACCAGCGAAAGCAACAGTGTCCGAGCACAACAAGCCGCCCAATATTGAAGCATGATTCGGCTTTGTCACACCGCACAGGAATTCTGCAGCCAGATTTCCGCTCTCCCGCTGCCGCGACGGGCCTTCGTCTGCTATCCAGAGCTCTTGTTGAATCCGGTTCGCCACCCCCAGGCTGCTTGTGCAATCTTCCGTTCCTTGATTATCTGATTGCTCCCGTGCTCCACCAGACCCTCCACAATGTATCCATTACGTTCAGGCGATCATGCAAGCCACGAAGCGCGATGGACCCGATAGGCTCCTTTCTCCCCAATTGCAATCACCGGGGGCTCTGCAGCCAGTCTGCCGAAGCGGCACAGCTGAGGACAAACGGTTCGACGTTCCCCTCTCGGGGCAGCAGGCAAAGTTTGCCTCGTGTACCCTTCCACTCGTGGGATCACTTCCAGGCCCAACGGCCCTTCAAGTCGGAATGGCCACCACGAGCTGCTTCCTGATTCCTGGAATGCTAGATTTGGTATGCATAAGACCTGGAAAGGGCCGGGTGACCTCCTGCTGCCTCACAGCCCAGTGTGACACACCAACATCACACAACTCTTGCGTCAAGTGCCTCAAGGCTTTGTTGTTTGCAATTTGACCCGAGAGCCTGTCCACGCTAGATGCCAACAAAACTTCCGTGCCTTTTTCTCAGACGGTGTGCTTCGTTGTTTAAAATATTCGCATCAGACGATTTGCAGGCAAGGTTCCGACTTGCATACTGTAACACAATATTGCACAGATCCTCTGAGTGTCAAGCCAAGAATGTGGAGGCACCTGAAACGGAAATCACCAACTGCGAAGCACTTCGGGTTTGGGCTTAGTACCGCTAAGAAACGACCTGGAACAATCATCCCGGACAAATCACCAAAGCTATAGAGGGGGTCTTATTGTGCTTGTTGTGGTTATGTTGCTGCTGCTGTTGCTGCTGCGCGCGGCCCTGCGACACTGTGCATTCCCCCTGCTTCCCCTGAACACAGGCTACTATACAAACAAAAACGGCTGGCACGGTCTTCGCCTTCGTCCTTTCGGGATTGTCAGGAGCTGCACCGCGAGGTGCTTATTGTGGTGGATGGCAAGCTCTCCGCTCTTTTTCCTTGTGGTGGCATGTTCGCTTGACCTTCGTGGTGCGTGCAACTTGGCGAGAGTGGCACATACCTCGTGGTGCGACGCTGCTGTCCGACACGCGGCATGCACCACGATCTTCGTTCTCGGAACCACAGCTTGGAACTGCTGCATGCGCCCTCTAGGACCAGTTCACTGCACATAAGTCACACAACCATAAAACCCATCGTGTTGACTAGCAAGACGTAGTCAACGAGAATCACTAGAATGCTTTCCACATGCTTCTACTAGAAGTTCGCATGAACACTGGGACAGGTATCGGCCTACCAGTGTTGCTGCACCGAGGTGAGTCTGCCTGCAGATGACATGCAAAAGGCAAGGGCGGGTCTGCCAAGCTATGGTTGCTGACAGATTTTTTGGATGCAAAAGGTGGACCGAGCCTGCTTCGACTTCTTCCCATGGGCATTTCACCAGCTTCACCTGCAGCCATCGCTGCAGCGGTCTCGGACTCTCCAAGTCTTCAGAGGAGGCCTCGAGCATCGCCAGGCGCTGACACCTGCAGAAGCCAGATGCTCCAGTTCTCAACTTAGAACCAACCAGAGCAGCTAGCAGTGCTTGCTGCCTTGTGGCAAGGTTTGGGGACGACGCTTATCCGTGCAGTACAAGAGGAAACCAATTTCTCATTGACGCAACTGAACAGGCTCCTCGAAATGCAACGTACTACGAGCACTAGGGTTAGGGTCAAGCGTTTGGGGTCCGAGAGCGTGTCTACCAAGAGCCTTGGCCATTTGTGATAAAGTAACCACGCTCAGAAGCTTCTGCGCGGACATGCAAATATGTATATGTCATATGTATTTGTACCTTTACTTGTATATGTATGCGTATGTGTATGTGTGTATATATATATATATACACACGCACATAGAATCCAGCACTTACTGCAAACGCATCACCACACATCTCTGTGATGGCCTCTTGCCAACCAGCCCTTCGGGTGGCTTGCAGGTGTCGGGGCACTCGGAAGCTGGAGATGGACAAGCCTTGACCTTCCAATGACAGCACGGCGCTGAGAGAAAGTAGCTGATCAGTGAGCTTGAAAGCAAAAGGATACCCTCCGACCTCTCGCCAGAATCGCAGGATCTGCCGCCTGCACGGGCATGAAGCACCCTTGTGCAGCACGAGGCATCCTGGTAAACCTTGCATCCCTGCATTCCTAAGACTTCTCTCTTACATACTCAATGACTCAAAGACATACTGGAAATCGACGTCTCGAGCGATGGCAAGCGTGCGAGCGTTTCCTCACTGGTCTTGCAGCTTCCAGAGACAAACCAAGAGTGAAAGCGCCTCCAGAGCCGCCATGGCGACGGAGCAGAGTATGAAAAACACTTTCCCTCTGGGTGAAGACTGGTTGGAGTATCACGAGTATGGTTGCAACTGGCCATGGAGGCAAGCAGCTGAGACCTTGCATGATTTGCTTGCACGAGCTCGTGGACTCCCTCAATGGATTGGCTTTTTCGTTCCATCTATGCAAATGGCTGCGCCACTCTAGCGGCATCCGGTGGCATTGGCGCTTGTAACAAGAACCCCATTCGCTGTCCCAACTCAGCTGCTGCGAATTCACCACGCACCTCCTCTTTTCCATCCTCAAATTCCATAGCGAGATGAGGCCGCTTGAAATTCCGCGATTGGTGGACCAGGTGAGTATCGAGGCATATTGTCGTGACTGTAAGATTCTCTTTGCCAATATATGTGAGTGAGTACATTGCTGTTTGGTCTCCTGAGCACGGCTGTGTGCGCAGTGTGCACACATCGGATGTTGTTTTCTTCTGTCTCGGTTCCTATGCAGACCATGACGGTTCACTCAACCCGGCTGTCTGCTGCCTCACGTCCTAAGGACACCTCACGCGCCGGTCGTGTCAAGATCTTAGACGATTCCCGGGTCTGGAGGCTCTCGGGGCAGGTACTTTCAGACTGATTCTGATGACGATGGTGATCACCGTCACCATGGTGGTATTAGCAAGTCCCAACCCTTGCGTCCGAGGCATTGGCCATGATGACGGTGGTGCTGCAGTGCTGCGGGTGGTGGCAATGATTAAGAAAATTGGGATACCTCTTATCGTCATTCCCTTGATGAAAAAATCTGATGTCCTTGCCTCCATCCCCGAAAATGGATCCGAAAAGGTCCAAGAGGAGCACTTTCAGCTCTCCTCGCGCCGAGAAGATTCAGTTTCGATTAACAGGTCTCTCCCTTTCATCGGATGGGAGCTCTGTGCTTGCGTCTGTGTTCGTGTGCGTGTGTGTGTGTGTGTATGTGTATATATATATATACATACATATGTATGCACA